AGTACTCGCGAATGCAATTTGTTCTCGTTTTGACAAGTTCGGCTTGAAGCTTCCCCAATGTAAGTGTTGTGCAAACAATGGAAAACAAACCAGAATCAAGCACAAGCAATCGCAAAACACAACAATTTATGTGGTTCGACGAAGATGCCTACGTCCACGAGGAGAGAGTGATTTCAATATATTGGAGAAAAATAGTGAATTACAATAGCTCTCAAGCTTTCTCTCTTACTGTCATGCAACCCTTAAATCTCAATTTATAGAGATTTAAGGAAACAAAATAGAAAAAACTTCCTAATATATGCATCAATTAAATCCTAATCAAATCAACTATTTAGAGACATAATCAATTCTCTAATTAATACATTAAATGAATATCAAAGCTTTCCAAAAAAAACTGATTTGATTTTAAAAATAATTCCAAATTAACAGTTTTCTCCTCATCTTTCACTTCAGAAAATGGAAGATGATAAACCAGGCTTCAACATCAGAACAATTGCACTCAGATGGTTGCCTACATACCTCCCTCTCAAGTGATCAAGCTGAGCACAGTTCTTCATAGTGTGGACAATCAGTCATGAGTTATAATGTTCATCAAACTCTTGCAGTCGGTGAACTTCCAAACTAGTACCTTTGTGAGCATGTATGTTGGATTCTCCTTGGTGTCTATCTTTTTCAACTGTACATTGCTTTCAATAATCAAGTCTTGAATAAAATGATACCACACATCAATCTGCTTGGTACGAGTATAAAAGACTCGATTTGTGGCTAAACATATAACACTTTGATTATCACAAAACATTGTTAGAGACTTGTGGTCAACTTCCAAATCATCCAGTAGATCCTGCATCCATATTGCCTCCTCCATCGCCTCTGCCATTACCATGCACTCAACCTCAATAGTAAACAAAGCAACAGTAGATTGAAGTCCTAATCTCCAACTAACTCGACCTCCTGCCAATGTGAATAACTACCTTCTCGTAGACCTTACCTATCAATGTCACCAACATAGTTTGAATAAGTGTAGCCTATATATAACTCAGCAATAGATGGCTGCCTTTCTCGAACACCAAGACTACATCAACTGTACCCTTTAGCTACCTCAAGATACTCTTCACAGCCTGCCAATGTGATACCCAAATTTGGTTCTTCTCCGTCCTTTATAATAGCAACTATTCATCATCTCCTACTATAATCTCTCCTCATGTTGCATGACATATGTTTACTTTAAATATAATTATTGTTAGAAAGTGGCAAAGGCTGATGTAAGTAGGACGAAAAAGCACCTATTTGGATCCTATAAGAACATGGCACCAGGTACCAAAGTGTCTAATACGGTGAAGGAAGAAATCAAAGCATTATTTATAAGCCAACAATTTCAAAGCATAATTCATAGTGACGGTTTGATGACAGAGTTGATAAGGACTCAATACTATGCGAATGAGCATAGTGGTCAGGACTCATCATCTTCATCATAGCAACCTATGTCATATAGCGGTCTATGGATTACTACATGAAGATCCTCGTGGAGGATAGACAACGAGATAGACTTTCTACATCACAAAAGTTGTCCCAAAGACTAGTAGGTAGCACAGACACAAATATGCATGTATATAGACAAATTTTGATGAGAATGATATCTCATTTAATATTGCAACATCCACTGCTTACTACAATATGATTCATTCCATTGGAGCCTATAGGCGAAGATTGAAACCCCCATCCATGTTGATTTGAAGGCATGGATTTTGAAGGAAGAGCTGGCAAATACTAATAAATGCATTGAGAAAATCAAGAGGACCTAGAGCCATAAAAGGTTAACTATAATATCTAATGGAAAGTCAAATATAAATAAGAGAAGCTTTATAAATATGTTGAATTTCTTTGTGGAATACTTAATGGTATTGTTGATGAGATTGAGGAGCACTTGGTGGCTCAAGTGGTGGCAAATAATGCAGTGCTTATAGGGCAATGGCTGCAAAATTTATGGAGTAGAGAAAGCACTTATATTGGACATCATGTGTCGCACATTATATAAACCTGATCTTTGAAAAACTTAAGGTGTTGCCACAACATAAGAATACACTAAGGAAAAAAAGATAAACAAATTTATATATGATCATTCTTAGTTTTGGCACATATGAGAAAGTTTTCAAATAAAGCAATACTGAGTAGGTATGCTACAACAAAATTTGATACTACTTATTTGACATTGCATAGTATGTTGGAGGTGAGACAACCTTGGATGACTATGTTCACTTCAACACAATAGTTGAGTTATGCTTGGACAAGAAAACCCAAAGGAAAGAAATTAAGAAGATTATTTTGAATGATAAATTTTGACAAAGTGCACTTTATGCTATTAAAAAAATTAGGCCACCAGTGCAAGTTTTAAAGAGAGTAGATGTTGAGAAGAAGTATGCAATAAGTTTTATATATAATAAAATGGATGATATGAATGAGCTGATTGCCCACAACATAAAAGAGGAAGAGGGTAGTTATGAGAAGTTTGAGGTTGATGAAAAGTACTTCATCGCCACTTGCATGTAGTAGGCTACTATATGGATTCTCAGTTTTAATATGATGAAAATTAGTTAATAAATACTAAGACAAAATTGAGATATACTATATTACATAGATAAGTTTATAGTTGATTCATCTGAGAGAGAAAATGCTAAAATACAATTGATACCTTCTACGTATAAGGAGGGCTTCTTTGGACTGTAGCAGACAAAAGATAGATTCATAGTGATCTCCAGATAATTTGATTATTTTTATTGGAGAAAATTTTATCAATTAAAATGATTAATTATATGTATTATACTCATTAACTTTATCTCACTTGCATGGTAAATTCAATTTGGTGATGACACTCCAGAACTACAACATTTTGATATTAAAGTATTGAGATTAACATGCTCTTCATCTAGACACCAAACACAAATGGAGAATGCCAAATTAAGTCCACAAATAAAAGATAAATCATGCAACAACCCTAAGGATGAATTCCTTTGTGTACACTATGTATAACAAGAGACTAAATGATAGAAACTTGACGAAGAGAAGGTTAAAATATATCAATAATTATTTGCTTTGTGACGATATAACATCAGATGATGAGTATTTTGTGGATGACGAAATGGAGGTTACACCATTTGAATTATAGAAAAAAGATTTGAACATTAAATTCTTTTATGATGATAGAACCAAAGGATGAATTCCAAGTTATATATATAAATAATTAAAAATAAAATTTATATAAAAAAGAATTTAAAATTTTTAAAGTTTATTTAAATTGGAATATTAATCTCATCTTTATATTGATGTTAAGAAAGAGAAAAATAATTGAAACTGACAATGAAGCAGATTGTAAGATATTGGAACACACAAGTGATGAGGCAAGGGAGCAATAATTTGTTGTGATGATGACTAAAAAATCCCCTCAATAATGGCAGCACAAATGGCTTTTGAATTGTCATACTATTACTATTTTTTTAGAAATTAAATGTGGATGAGTAGGGAACTAGAAAAAAAACTTGAAGTTGAACTTGATTCATATAATATTTTTATGCAATTCTTATATTTATCTTGTTTTGTTACTTGAACTTGAAGTTGAAGTTGAGCTTGATTCATAATATAATGTTTGCATTTTAATTCTATTTCACGAAATTTATCACTCCGCTTTATATCTTATGCAATTTTTAGTTTCATTCAATTTTTTACTTCATAGATCAATAGGATTTTAATAATGTCATCTTTTAATATCTTATTTGGTTATTATACAAAAAATTACTTCTAACCTTCTTTTTCGCTTTACATAATTTTTGTTTATTGAAAGTCTACGTCTCAAATTGACTTAAGGCTTATATCTAGCCTCATAAACAAAAAAATTCTCAATATCTAATTGCGCAATTTTAAACTTTGGCCATCACACTACTATAAAAATATATCCGACATTGCTCACACCAAAAACCCTATCTCTCACACTAGGGCTAAACACATAGAGATTGCTTACCTTTTTAACCATGACTTCCTCAAATCAAACCAAATCATAGTCACAACATTTCCACTCAAGCTCCAATTAAAAACATGTTCACAAAATCTCAATCCAATAAATGCTTTCTCATGACAATGGACAAGTTGACGCTCCAAGATCTCACCATCAACTTTAGGAAAGGTGATAATATCACTAAAAATAATTACAATACACCAAAAGCTGTTCTAAAGCAGCCACTTTTGCTCACCTAATCCCCATCATCTATCTATAACAACCAACAGCATCTCAGCCATCCAAGCCGGAATGTCACTGTCAGGGAATACAACAGTTGTAATTCTCTCTAAAAAAATACTCTACAGTAGTTAGCAGTGTATGAGTTCGAATTGGAAATGAATACAGCATTTCTGCCAGTCATCTTCTACTCTTCCTCTGCTTTCACTTCTGCATTACAGCATACATAGTTTCTGAAACTTATACAAGTTCAACATAGTCAAATTTAGCAAAAAATTAAAATATTCAAATTCGGTCTGATTCAAATTTAGCTCAAACTCAAGTTACTATTAAATCAAAGTTGACAATAACTACTTAAATGGTATGAAATCTACTCGTGATAAAAAATTAATCAGCAGTAACTTACAATTATTCACCATCCAACAAGAATGATTATAATTACTTTTACACAAATATTTATAAATTTAATTGGAAAAAAATAAAAAAAATCTCAAAAACATTATAGATTCATAGTTTTAAATAAATAAATCAGAATATATGTACATTTTAAGACGATTCGCACTTTGAATCGACCCAAAATTAATTCTATAATTATTTTTTTTTTAAGTTAAGAATCATTAGTTTGAACTTTTCAAGTTATGAATCTGATTTCTGACTGAATAAAAACTCATGCAAGTTTAGAACAAACTTCAAATTTCTACTAAAATTTCCTAGAGCGTAATAAGACTGTAAACAAGCGGAGAGGGAAATAACAAAGTAGAAGTAGTTTACTAACAGGAGAGGCTCGGATCCCGTCTAGTCGGGAACTCGCAAATCCATGGCAGAAAATAATCTTGAACTTCGCCCTCTCCTTCGGCACGCCCGTCTCCTCGTACGCCAGATGCCGCCCATCCCGAAGCCGGATCCTCTTCGCCGTCACCGGAGGCCCACCCTCCGACCCACACAACCGCGGCGGCTGAGGCTGAATTTCCGCGTAAAACCAACTCCCCAGCCCAATCACCAGCACCGCCGCCACCAACAGTTTCTTCTCGATCCCTGCCCCATTTCGCAGATCAACGTCAAAAAACACATAAATTATACCAAAACACAGATTACTAGAATGCGATACAGAGATTGATGGCGCAATGTTGCGGACCTGATCGGCGCGGAGCAGGCTTCATGGCGATTTGTTTGAACCGCCGGCGAAGGAGTGGGAGCGGGGAAATGGGGGGTAAAAGTGCAAGCGAGAGTGATAATAAAGTGCAGCGGTTGGGTTGGGCCGGGTTGGTCTCCAACTTAATTTTTGACTAGCTGGCTTTCTTGTGGCCCCCACTGCTGCTCCCGCTTTCGGTCAAGTGGGCTTCTAGGGACTTCCTGCGTCAGTATATCAAAAGTCTCACGCTAATAGTTAATTGTTATGTCCGTACATCTGTACATTCGGACGTCAATAACATGTCACCGTCATGTGCTCTTACTCTTTACCGTGCGGCCCGACGACCCGGACCCGGTATTGCTATGTATTGGCTGATTTGTGCATATAGGGGTATTGCTAGGTATTGCTCGGTATTACTCGGTATTGCTCGGCAATAATAAGAAATATCAATCTGTCAAGATTAATACCTAGCAATATCGAGCAATACTTAGCAATACCCGATTTTGCTAGGTATTATTCGGTATTGCTCGGTATTGCTGGGTATTAATCTTGACAGAGCGGTATTTCTCGTTATTATCAAGTAATACCTAGCAATACCGAACAATACCTAGTAATACCGAGCAATACATAGTAATACCCGAACATAGCAATATTGGGTTCCGGTCTGGGTCGGGTCGTCGGGCTGCGTGATAAAGAGTAAAAGCACGTGGCCAAATGTTATTAACGTCCGGATGTAGAGTTAAGTCCGGTGTCCGGACCTAATAATTTTTCATTGTGTTGGGACTGCGACCCGCACCGTCCCAAGAAAAATTACATAGAAAATTATTTAAATCCCATTTAATTAGAGAATTAACTAAACGTGTCGAAATGGTCCACTTTTAATTTAGCATATAATTGTGCGTTATTTTTCCTTTTAATGACGAGAGCTTAACTTAATTCTATTAAATAAACATAAAATTACAAATTTGTCAAAAGCTAGAGATATAAAATATGTGGAGTGGGTCCTTGCTTTTTGGATCTTTTGATTTTTTTTTTCTTTCTGTTTTGGTTCAGGACTGGTGGAGGATTGGTTGAGCTAGTTTTTTTCAAGTTTTTGTTGTTGGATCTTGGTTTGGTTGTTGTTTTCTCGTTTGGAGGAAGATCTGTTTAGGTTCTGCTTGTCTGCGGGTGATTGAAATTTTTCTTTAAAGGTTTGGTGGAGCTTTTCTCGGTTTGTTGTTGGTGTTGGTTTCTGGATTATTTGTTGTTCTGCTCTCTATGGGGAGTTTCTGGGAGCTTTTTAATAGGATTGTATTTATTTAGTTTATTTGTTTCTTCTTAAGACTTCTTTTTCTTTGCACTTTTGTAAGTTTTTGTTCTATTTTTCTTACAAAAGTTGTAATTCTCTTGTAACATTTCATTATTAATGGAATTGGGTATGATTGTCCCTAATTTTTTTCAAAAGAAAGGGAATTTAACTATAAAGTTGAAGAGAGTAAAAAATACAAATTAAAAAGTCAAAATGAGGACGTAACATCATTGCAATTAGGGGTGTCAATTTCGGGTTACGGGTCGGGTTCAGGTCGAACCCGAAATTAACCCGGCACTATTCGGGTTCGGGTCGACCCAACCAGGTTTTGCAAATGAGTCGATTTTATGGACCCGAACTCGACCCGCATCGGGTTCAGGTCAACCCGACCAAACCCGCGGACGCGACATGGCCTCGGGACGCCGGTGACACGGAACTACTGGGCACGGACGTAGACACGGCGCGGAACTGTCGGACGCGGATGCCGGACGCAGGACGCGACACGAAACTGCCGCGTACGCCGGCGAGGCGGTGACTGACGTAGGACGCGACTACTACTAACGCCTGTGCGACGCGACATGGCCTTCGGACGTAATGCGACCTGGCTTCGAGACGCAATGCGATGTGACGCGTCCGGGCAGTCTGGCGCCGGTAGGCGGGGTAGCCGGGACGCGGGCAGGGTCATTCCGGATAGACGGGTTTGTGTGCATTCCGGGTCATTTCAGGTTGATCTCGGGTTCCCGGGTCAACCTGATCCTGACCCGATTTTTCAAACGGATCGGTTTTCATGACCCGATCCCGACCTGCTTCGTGTTCGATCAACCCTAAACCCAAAAATTTCGGGTCGGATTCGGATCGGGTCCAATATTGAAAGGTCTACTTGCCATATCAAGGGAAGGCTATGATTTTATTAACTTTTTTTAAAACTAGCAAAAAAATTGATAACTAAAAACTGCCACAAAAGAAGCTATGTGAACAGAGCAATATTTATGTGCCATCTACGACAACAACAACTGAAATTAATATAACACTTTGATTCCAAACAACATTTATTAGGTTGCATGTGCATATTATCATGATCAAAATTAATTAAAGTGGGATAACCTTCTTACTGTTTTATGAAATAATCTTATAGTAAATTAAAAAAAAATTACACTAAAAAAATGTTTCATAAATCAGTAAGAAATTTGTTCGAAAAAAACTATACTATAGACCGGATATATCATCAAAAAAATCATCTTCATCGGGCACGAATCTCGATGCAAAATCAAGTTGGAAACTTTAGAAATTAAAATCATGACCATCTGAACTCCGATTTCAATAAACTTATAGTCGAACTAAACGTCTCAAAAATACGAACCTAGAGACATCAAATTCAACTCAATTCGAGCCCAAATGGATCCAAATCAAAGACCCGAAGCACATTTGAAAAGTTCAAACCATAAATTGAATTACCAAATGATTTATAAACGTGACATGCTTATAGTCGAATCAAGCAGCTCGACAAGACGAATCCAACAAACCCAAGATTGTATAATTATGATATCATTAACACATTCAATTACACAGTAAATGATCCACAATCAAGAGGATCAAAATCAGCCGTCAATTCAAATTACTCACAACTTACCCATGATATCTCACATATTTACTTATCATGTCACTCTCAGAAATTATAAATATACCCTTAATTTCTCATGGTAGGAGACTCAAGCAAAGAAGAAAAGGAAGAGAGAGAAATTAGAGTTCTCTTGCCACCAATCCTCCTCGCCCACCATCAGACTTCTGCCCGATAACCGACTGTCACTGGACTTCCACTCGGCCACCAACTATTGTCGGACTTCTGTCCGGTCATCAACTGATGCAGGACTTCCGCCTGGTCACCGACAGACGTAGCACTTCTACTCGACTACCGACTGATGCAAGACTTCCACCCGGCCACCGATTGACACCGGACTTCTGATCGGCCGCCAACTGACGTCGGATTTTCACACGACCACCGAGCGTCACTGGTTTTCCGCCCGACCACAGAACATCGTCAGATTTTCATTCGATTTCCGCTCATCACTATATTTCAATATAACGGTTGGTTGTTGTAATCTGATCGTCCTCAATAGGACCGATCAATCATTTGTAATATATTCAAATACTGACCCTTTGATTTTTCTCTTTTTCAGGATTTTCCACATAAAAATTCTTGTGTTTTTTTAATTTCCTATTTGTGTGCTGAATATATGTACAATGTTGAGGTGAAAAATTCTAACTCTATCACCGATTCGCCGTATATATTCTAGCCTGCAACAACAACATAGTTAAAATTAGAAACTTTTCCATGTTTAATAAATTTGAATCACCAAAAATAACATATATAAATCAAAAGCAAAAAAAAAACTATTATTTCATCTAAAGCTATGTCGGTCAGCAAAAAGATCATCAAAACAATTAGAGAAAAAACAAGAAGCTCATAGCCCACAAGGGCGCAAAGAACCGCTCTAAAAATAAGCCGCCCATCTGTTTACACCATTCATCCATATTAAAAAAAACTTCCTTAACTAAAGTTTTATGTGAAATAAAAATTTTTGAGCTTTTTTTTTAAGTATACCATTTCCTTAAAATTAGAAAATATAGCCATATATAAGTTGTTATTTGTGTGAAAATCTAGAAAGTTACAAAAAAAAGTACAAATTCCATGGAATTTCATTGGAAGGTAAAAATATTTTTTTATTCAAATTTAAGTTAATAAAATAGCTAATTAATAAGTCACATTACATTAAAATCTCATCTAGAATGACACCGAAGAAAGATATTGCATTATAGGAAATTATAATATTAGGTGACACCAAGAACTAAAAAAGTTCTCTGCTGAGACTGGACGTAGAACTCCGTCCAGAGACAAATCAGAATGCGCGACATCAGCGGTATCGAGCGACAATATCGAGCACAGAGTGACGTGGCGTATTCTGATTGGTTTTTAGATGACGTTCAGCATTCGCACAGAATAATTAATGCCCGGTGACACATCTTCCACTAATTTTTGGGGTCTTTTTTGTCCTCCCACTGCAAGCATGGAATGTGACTTTCCCTTCCTTCGAACATAATCGGTCAGCATAAGTTGGCCGCTTTTGAAATGAGAACAGAAGCCTGATTAGTGGTTTGGAGATATCAAGATCTGACAATCTTTATTGAATCAGTATGTTTTCTTTGTGCTTTTTGACTTCAGCTCTCTTCTTCCTTCATTTCTCCATTTAGCCTTAAAGTTTCTTAGCAGATTACCCTATTTATGAACAGAAAATCAACTTTGAGAGAAAAAAAAATTAGATTATGAACAGAAAATCAGGAATTTTTTAAACAAGCTGTCTTGAAAATATATGGAAGACTTTGTATTTCAATATCTGATGCTAAACTTTATTTATTTTACATTTTCTAAGAAATGAAATCTTGATAACCATTCATTTAAGCAATTTATTATGTTAATTATTAAATTTATCAAATTTTCAAGTACATTATACATTATCTGTCATTTCCAATGCCTACGCCGCCGCCCCATCACCAGCCATCGCCGCCTTTAGCCGTTACCCATGCTGCCTGCCCGTTGCCTCCTGACTTGCCGTTATTGTTGCCCGCGTCTGCCGCTGTCGACTATTGCCCCCACCGATTGTTATCCAATACCACAACTATTGATCTTTGAGCCAATTTTTGCTACCACCAGCCATCACTATGGTTAGATTTTTATAATATATTTATTTTACTTCAAGTTAAATAAAATAATAATTACTCACATTTAGTTTCGAGTCATTCAAACAACTCCAAAATACTTAAAAATATTTCATTCTTTTTACAATCCATTCATTTTC